ATAAATATTTTCAGGTTTTCTGATCGATGAGCATAAACTGATCGACTTTGCCGGCCTTCTGGTGCGTGGCGGTCAGCTGGAGGCAGCCAAGCAGGTGCTGCAGCGACGTGCCGACGAGCATAAGGTCATTGGAGGCACCTACGTGATCAAGAATGTGTGGCAGCTGCTTACCAATGTGGCCCAGATGGCCGCAGATACGAATCAACAGGAAGCTGGAGGTGTAGCAGGAGCACCGGCTGCTGCATCTGCTGGCCGCAACTTAACTCAAGAAACACTGGACTTCCTGCGGCAGCTGGGATACTGCCAGGTTCACAATGCTCTCCTCGGGCCCGTTCTGCGAGAGTGGTTGCTGCGCGGGGACCTTGACGCAGCAGTCGCCGAGTTCCAGCGTCTGGCAAGCCAGCACAAGCACACGCCGCTGCAGTTCGAACTGCTGTCGCTATTGGTGCGACTGGGCAATGGGAACGCGGAGGACCTGGCACGCTTCAAGGGTACCACGGCGGGCTCTGCCCAGCAGCACTTGGCCGCGGTGACGGCGACTGTGAGCCGTGTGCACGGGGCAGCGAACATGAATAGCGCCCTGCTGCTGGCGCTGGCCGAATCAGGCACAGAGACGCAGCTGCGACGGCTAATCATTAACCCAGAGTTCCGCATCAATCACGATTTGCTGATAAAGAACTGCGAGCACCTTGGACAGGAGGGCGCCGTACGCACCTTACTGCGTCTGGCCCGGGGCGTACGTGGCGTGCAGCGCAGCATCGATGAGCAGCGCATCTACGACATGCTGCTTTCCCAGTTCAGTAAGAGCAACAACTACGAGGCGGCCCTGGATCTGTTTGAGCGGCTCGAGGCCGATGACGAGCTGAAGGTGTCCCAGGAGTTCATCCGCAACCTGGTCAAGCTGCTGCAACTAAATAACGTGGAGATACCGAGCGGCATAGCGTTGCGTGCACAAATTAGATAGCCGCATTTTTAGTTGTTAACTAAAGCTCCCTAAGCAGAGCTTCGACGCGATGTTTTTTAAGTTAAACCAACCTAAGAACGCAATATAACAACAAGGTAGGACGCGCGAGTTGAAAGATCCGAGATCAGTTCCCGATGGAATGTTGTCGCCCAAAAATACGTTGATTATACGAGTTTTTATATTGATAAATTGTACAAATAAGAAAACAATTTGGTAACATTTGTAATTAGTTAAAAAATGGGTGCAACTGGTGCGGCCGTCCGAAGGCACGCCCTTTCGTATATAATCAGCCATGCTCCGGACTTACCAAATTATTAGCGATTATAATTTGGAAAATATGCATACGAATTTAAATTTGTGTGTTCGATTTTCCCAACATTATGCTAAGTACTGTCCTATCTGGCAGTTAGTTTGCATTCGCGTGTCATCCAGTCGAGATATCCGCATGTCCGCCGCATGTCGGTGGCCAGGCTGGCGTGCAACTGATTGCGATGTTGACAAACTTGCTTGGCTAAAGCTAGCTGAAACTAAGAGCCCAAGTTACCACGTTCCATGGTCTCCTTCAGCGTCAACGGATGCTTCAGAACGAATGTTAAACAGCCCAGACTCGACTACAACTTCTTGTTGAACTTGGGTCTGAACCTGATAGCTGCGCGGATTAGCGAATAAGTCGTAGAATATTTTTTTTTTAATTCGCTGAAAAGTTACGTGGTTGTCGAAGCACCGTTTCATGATTTGCTGTGCAAACAAGGCTATTTTGTCATACATTTCGAAAATGCTAACAGCCCTAACAATTAAGGCTAACAATTGGTTGATATGCGTTTCCTTTTCGCAGTTTTCCTACCTCCTACCTCCTACACACACACAGCCTACTTTAAGTGTCCCAGCACCTGTATAAGGATTGACTGCAGTTGAAAAATGTTTTCAAACGAAAACGGGGCAAGCGACGGAAGCGGACGCCAATGCGTTGGGAGCTGCAGTATCGAAAAGACACAGAAAAAGGACGAAAGCGTCACTTCGTTCCCCTTGATGTTCGAGGCAACCATGCGGTGGTGTTGATTCTTGTTTTACTCCCAGTAGCTATGGTAAGTTTTGCCCAGGATCTTGATGCGAAAACAGGAACAATTGGAGGAAGTGGTACTGGAACTAATAATACTGCTGATGCCGTTCGTCGCGAGGGGTACGCGGTCGACGGTACGACTCACGAGCAGCTTGGACAGGACCACTGGCCTTCCGTCGAGTACTGCCCATACCGTCGTTTCGCCAACTATTCGCGGGATTTAACCTCGTCACAAAAAGCCTGAGTCCCTCTAATACACTAACGCAAACCGCCTTGCGTTCGTTTTTATCCCACCTGCCTCTCGGTAAGTAATGCCAGTCAAACTTGCTCCAATGAGCCAATGTGTCCGCGCCCGCTCCTCTTTTGCTAGCGTGCTAGCGAAGACACTTGTAATTTTTTAAAAGAATTGGTTGATCACATCTACCATTTGATGGAGTACAATTACCAGGAGCTGAATGCCCACCTCGATGACCAACTAAATAGTGAGTTCGACTCCGGAATTGAATCGGAAACGATATACCTTCCACCTGCCAGCCTCCATCTATCTCCATAGATGCACGTGATCACATATTTCTGGAACTGAAATGAAGCGCATCTTGATCAACATGCCGAAAGCACTTAAGATAATGTTACAAATGGATAACTTAAAGAAGGATATACACCTAGAGCCACAGAATTTCTCACATCGGATATCGAATGGATAGTCGTCAAGCTATGCGGGCCAGAAATGAGATCGTAGCTACGCTGCTTTTGTCAAAATGCTACAAGTTCAACCATGACATGGGTATAACGACTTACGATATTTTAAAGTGCCTGCACTAGACCTGGTATTATATTTTCCCTAAAAAGCGCCTAGATTCCCAATAATACAGTCTTTGTCGAAGCGATGAAGAAAATTATTGAGGCGGACTGGCCCGCTGAAAAAGGTTTTAGACTTGATCCTCAAACAGATGAAGCTCGGTTTTCCGCCAATATTTCGAAATCCTGCTAGAAGAAGGGTAATGCTTCTGGATTAAGCTACAGAAATCCGCGACTTAATTGATTCTATGATCAGCGATATTCACCTAAACACACTGAGGACCGCGAGGACATTTGACGTTTACGGAAAATTTGGCAAAGATCGCCTAATCTTTCGACTAATAAGTCGAATGAGTTTATGAATACTTTATGCAAATTAGATGCATTTTTGTATACCCGGTACTCGATCGGTTTCGGACTATATTTGTTTTGTGGTGTGTATTTAAAACCCAGAAGGAAGCGTTTCCGACCCCATTAAGTATATATTTTCTTAATCAGCATCAATAGCCGAGTCGATATACCTATGTCTGTTTATCCGTCCGTCAGGGTATCAAGCCCCCTTCCTCCCCCACAAAGAAGGAAAACCTGTTGTATCTACAATTTGAAAGATACGAGAGACCATGCATATTTAGCAGATTGCCAAATCTAGATCAGGTCGGATCCTTGAATAGAATCTCTCTCTCTCTCTCTCACACACTTTTCCTCGTGCAGTGTGCACGCGCTGAGTGAGGGGAGCAAGGTAAAACGGCTAGTGAAGGTAGTAAAGGCTAGTAAAAATTGAGAAAAGGATGCATGGCATGGCTGTATGCCAGTCAAGGCGCTTACTTAATTTGTGAACGCCTAGTCGATCCAATAGTGAATACAGATTTCACCTGAATGCTCCACTATTTATACAGAAAAAACTTTTAGGTTTAGTTGCCTTTTTCTGATATCAGGGCTTACTTATAAGTCAACATATTAGTTCCAAAATAAGTCACTATAGTGATGCCAAAAATTGACTAACGAAATGGGCAACATTCTGCATACCCTGGGGAAGGGGATATTACAGAATTAAGGAATTGTTTGTCACTCCAATGAATTCAGAAACTATACAGTTACTATTTTAATGCTAACTCACTGAAATTTTGCAGTGTGTGGTCTTCTTACTGCGACCGAGACTAGGTATCGGGATCGAGATACATATACATACATATATACAGGAAACATAATATTGCATAATTTTTCTAAAACATGTCATACTGAGAAAAAGTCAGTAGTATTATTTAAAATTTGCTGGGAAAAAGGGTATATTAATAGTAATACAAGGAAGTAGGGTATAAAGATGTATACTCATACTCATAGGACATACCTGGTGACCAGCAACAATGACGGATGTTAAAATTCTGTACACACTTACGTTTTAGACACAATCCAAAAAAAGGGAGCTAGTAAAATAAAAAAATCTTTTAGAAAATCGATACATCAATCGGGTAAAATTATGTGATCAGGGCTCAGGTTACTATCACCAACCATACAACTTATTGATTCTCTCGGCCATCGGGAATCCGCTGTATGTTGCTGCGTTGCTTTATTTGGGTACAGTAAAATTTGAGGTGAATTATACTAATTAGCTTATAAGTTATATTTGTAAAATCACACAATACAAATGAATTTTATGTTTTAAGAATATTCTTGGCAATAATAATTTTTTTTTTATATATATTTATTTTTATTTATCCATATTAATTACTGTTGAGCAAAAACTATAAAACTCAAGAAATAAAATTGATTCTTTAATGATTTTTATTTTTTGGATTCAACTAATGTATTAATGAAGAGCTCATACGGAGCTGAGAAAAAATGTATATACATCCTTACTAATTGACCCAAGACGAACATTTAAAACAAGTTTTTAGGTTACAAGCAGATAAAATAATTTATTTTTCTGAAAATATGGTTAAAGATCGCAGCTTTGAGGCATAAATCTGTGGACATCGATAAATTTTTGATTGAAACTACTAGATAACTCCCCAATGAGTAAATAGATGTACATATGTATGTATTAATAATAATTATTATGGATAGTTTCTATTAGAAATCTCTCTATTATGCAAAAAAGTTTTTGTTAGATGTCTTGGTCGGCCCCATATTTTACTCCAATCGAACGAGCGAAGCGAATTGGGGTCTTGCCTCCTAGTAATATACAAATAATTATTATCACCGCAGAATATCCATTAAACATAAATGGATAGATTATCCTTAGAGTAGCGATTTAGTATATTTAATTCTGTTGTGCGGCTATTCTAAGTGTATGATTTTTTCGGTTACAAAAATATAAAATAATCATTTGCGATAACCGGAGCATGGCTGATAATATTTATCTGTGTGTGTTGGAGTGCACGTATGATCACAGCTTGGCCGAAGGTAGGCGGCGACGCTGAGCAGCCAGTGGTGTGCTCTCCTTCCGGAGTTGGGCCAGCAGTTGTTCGCGCCACGGCCGGAGAAGGTGTCGCTTGGTAGCCAGCAGGGATGCAGTGGGCAGGCGCGAATGCTGATCCATGCGTGTCCAGAAATGCTGCGCGCCTGCCGCCAGGCTGGCGACAAAGCCGCTTCCCAAGGCAGACCTAGCATCGGCCCGTTCCCCTAGTCGGAGTAACACCTCGATGTGTGGAAGGCTCCAGCTTGGTCCCGCCTCGACGCAGGGATGTAGATGGGAGAGCGATAGCAGGAAGTAGGCGGCCTCCGTGGCGTAGACGAGGTCGCAGAGGCAGCAGATGGTGACCCCCAGGCCCTGGCAAGGGCCCTGTACAAAAGCCACCAGTAGCTTTCGGCAGCTAAGCAGCTTCTTGGCCAGCGAACGCATCACAAAATCGGCTGCCCGCTGCTGGATGAACCGATCCTCGACCTCGTCGCGTTTCTCTCTCCCTGGTCCCTGCTCCAGAGCCAGCGGCTGGCAATCACCCTCACGTCCCACGGCAAACTCGCCCGACAGCACTACTATGCTGATGTCGCCATCCGCATTGGCTGCGTCCAGTGCTCTCATGAGCTCGTAGATGGTGCGCCGTTGCCATCGCTGGAACTGGATGACCAGCAACCCCCCGCGGCGGCTGATCGTCAGCTCTCTAAACTGCCTGCAGAATAGATTGTCTTCGGCAGCTGTGCTCATTCCGATGCCGAATTGCAGACTGACGGCCCAGCATTCGCACATAGACATTGCCGCCTCCAGATTGACATGATAGCAGGGTGTTCAAAGTTCAGCGTTCTTCCGTTCGAGCGCTCCGCTGGCATAAAGCCAAGCATGTGATGTTGTTCTGCTGCTCTCACGCATCTCGCAGATGCGTAATTTCAATCAAGCACTCACTCACACACTCATACACTTACATGGATGCTGCAAAAACATTTCTCAGAGTGCACTGCTCTCTATTTGAGCTCTGACATACGCTATTGCGGCAGCTCGCAATTCTCTGTCGCTTATTTACATTCTTAATCAAATTTAACCCAAATAGATTAGACGGAACCCCAGTGGGCATATCTTACAGATAACCATACAGTATACGAGAGTATAGCTTGCAAACCCCTGGGGATATCCTTTCATTCGTAGGTAAAAGGTAATTCTAGTCCTAATAGTGTACAATATAAATATGATCAGTGCTTGAAACACTTAGCACTTAGTGCTCATCTAAATGGGAAAACTTCTTGCGCAGCTTCTCGCGACGCTCCTTTTTGACATGACGCCAGGGCTTGTCTGTGGGGCCTGCATTGGCTACCAAAGTGCCATCGTTAGCCAGGCGAACATTTGGGAAATTGGTGCGTCCCTTGACATGGGCATGCGTCGGTTTGTCATCGAAGAACTGCTGGTCCAGCTCCTTGGACGTGCTCTTGTCGATCTGCGGACGGGAATAGAAATAGTTTAGGGATCGGCTTTAGTGTGAAAATCCAAAACTTACGCGCATGGCGCGCTGCTGTTGACTGGGCAGCTGTGATTCCTCGATTTCCTTACGCTGGCGCTCGGGAAATGTATGGTACTCGGCTTGTGTGACTGACGGCGGACTCATGGCATACAACAGCTTGCCATTAACATAATCCTTCAGTACATAACGGGCGGAACGTGCCTGATCCGGCTGACCGTTAGAAGTCATGAAGCCGCGATTGTCTGCGGGAAAACGAGAGAGAAGGAAAGATTATTAAATATTAAAAAGAGTCTTCCAAAAACTTACAGCCGTAAGCAAGAAGCAACTCCTCAGAATGTGGGGCACGTTCCATGTCCTCGCCTTCAACGGGCTTTGCTATCACAATGCCATACTTGTCCTCGAGGACGTGGCGCGGTATGCGCTCGCAGAGCAGATTAACGGCGGGCACATGGTCACGCATCTGATCGATGGGCAAAATGCCGTTCAACAGCATGTCTGCCTTGGTCAGCACAAAGCTGGGCATGACCAGGCCAGGGCAGTCGCACAACATGATGTCGTTGTCCAGATATAGGGTCTGGAAGCGTTTGGTCTTGCCGGGTGTGGCCGACACCGATACCTTTTTGACTGTCATCAGGGAATTTATGGTACTGCTCTTGCCCACGTTGGGATAGCCGACCATGCCAATGGTTACGTGCTGATCTGTGTGGCGTGGTCCTGTGTAGATGCGCCGCAGGAATTCAATCATCTCCGTTCGAGAGAGCACACGGGGGCTGTTTCTGTCGCCAAGCAGCTGCTCCGCCACGTCGTCTGGCTTCACCTTTCGATTGATGGCATCGAGTGCGCCTTCGACCTTGTTCAAGGACTGCTGGATCTCATCGGCAGCATCGCGCAGTTCTTTCAGCGCGGGAAAGGACTCCTGACGGGCGGCTTCTGCCTCTCGCTTGAGTTCCTCCTCCACAAGGGTGGCAGAGTAGAAGGCAGTGCGAATGCCCTCACAGTCAAAGTATTCAGCCCAATGCTTTCGCTGCTCCTCCGTCAACAGATCGGACTTGTTCACCAGAATCATATTCATCTTGGTGGACTTCACCTCTTTCACGTAGCTTTCCAGGTCGGTACTGCGGAAGAGCAGTGGATTGCGGGCGTCGACGATTTGGACGACGACATCAGAGCGCTCCACTACACGCCAGAGCTGGCGCCAGAACTCTAGATTCTTCTCGTAGGGCGTCATTAGGATTTCTTCGTCCTCCTGTAGCAGAGCCAGGTCCCGGCGCCAGTTGAGGAAAGCCTCGTTCTCGGCCCGCTCCAAATCCTCGGCACTGGTATTCTTGTCCCATTTGGGGCGGCGTGGTACTTTCAGATGTTCACGATGCTCGTGATGCTTCTGGTGCATGCGCTGCTCCTGAGTCTTGCTGAGCAACCCCACACGTTGCTTCGGATTCACAAAAGTTATGTTCAGCTTCTCCGCCTGGAACTCTGTTCCGGCCAGCTCTGCTGTGCGTAGGAATGCTTGAAACGAGGACTCCTCAGTCACAGACGACAGATTGAGACGTCCCCAGTCGTAGCCGTCCTGCAGCTCTGTGGTGTGGAGCTAAAAATGTTTCCACAGACAAGATCAGACTTCAGGTGCTTCGATAATTTTCTGATTGTGCATACCATTGTGTCGTTGTCCACCTTGCGTCGCTGTGTGTGCCCAAAACGATCTTTGATGAGCGTCCGCCCCAGGTTGGGCGTGGTGCCCTTGTTTTTCTTACCCATTTTGCGCGCGAATAGTAGTTAAATTTACCAAAATTAAACAATTTTGTTTCCAAACACAAACACGTGCAACTCCCCCGACCGAATATACAGCCAGTGTGACCGCGGTCTTGTCGTTAAAATATACCGTCCGACCCTCAGAAATATACCAAAATATACCGTCTCATTTAAAAAATATACCCTAAATATACTGACGAATTCAAGTTATATTTTACATATTGCAATATCGATAGATCACGGTAGTGGTATTTGGTAGTACTTATAGCTGTACGACATTAACCTTTGCTAAATTTGCTACAAAGGGAGATATAACATGATGTACAAAACGAAAAATCCCATTACTCTGTCTCTGCTCTTCCAGCTAGTGAAAACATTTTGTGGATCTGAGTCTGTATGAAATTACATTTGTGTTTAGTTTCCGGGTCCGGCACAATTTACCGAATAGTTGTACACGTATTATTACAGTTTACATGTATATGATTGATATTTTCTGGCACTTGTGGACTAATTCATTTTCTGGGCTCACATACCCTTTGCTTTAGGATTTTTAGAGTTGATATTTTATGAAAACGCATGCCCCACAATATCAGAAGAACTAGCGCACGCTGCACTATGAAGATTTAGTGTGAGAGAGAGGGAATGAGTAAGCGCGTGCATAGCCACTGAAATTGTATTTGCGCCTTCTGGCTATAATAATGATCCAATCTGGTAAATATGGCCATTCTCTATGATTCTGCGTTTCCAGTTTTCTCGAATTTTCATAATTGCCAATGCCACAGATTTTCGTCCTTTGTGTGGGCGGTACGAAACGGGCCTTGTAGCAGTATGATATCACAAGAATCTGTAAACAAAATTTGGTTGCTCTTGAGATCTAGACGCTCATCGGGGCGGACAGACGTAGCTATATCGACATAGCTATTGATGCTAATCAAGGATATATATACTTTATGGAGTCTCTTCGAGAACCAGGTATCAGTATCAGCTGACTGCCCAAAAATACTCCCATGGAACAAGCGGATGCTGAAATATGTATTGTTTAATGACTATTGACTTATTCTTTTTGGTACATAATCGCAGTTTGTTCGGAATTATGGTAGTGGTGGTCTCACAGAAACTATGTCTAGACATCCAACTAGATATTCGAGATTCACAGATAATAGACAGCCGCCAAGAACACGAAAATTATTCAGTACGGTGTGTCGTTGTCGCTATCGTCGTCCCAGACGATGGGCCAGACTGCGTTGCGGGGACAGTTTCCGCCCACAACCTTGCAGATGGTGTTGAAGGTGCTGGTCTTGCTGAAGCCCAGGATCTCGCGCTCCTCGTAGATCCGGTATGTGAAGGTGCTCTCGTAGGTGCCAATGAAGTAGCGGGCATATGAGCACACCAACTGATCAACAATGGCAACGCCGCCGTCCTTCAGTTTCTGTCGCTGCAAATTCGACTCCGGCTGGAAGTGCACGAATCGGAATCCATAGAACATGTTCTTCATTTGCACCAGATCGTAAGGGGTGGCATCGGTCGATAGAAACACTGTGGTCGCATTAAATGCCCTTAGCAGCTGCTTGATCTGCTGGGCGGCCGACTTCAGGTTAGGCGTGGTAGCCTCTCGCGACCGTACGAAGTCGCCACGACGCAGGTGTGCGCATATAAAGTCCCCGCCGCGTGCATCGCGCTTAGGTCGCTCCATCTCCCACATGGCCGGCCGCTGGACGCCCGCCGTGGTGTCCGTGGTGTCGAAGGCGTAGCGCAGGAAATCAGCTGCCACCTGGCTGAGGTATTTGGAGAAGCGCATCGAGCGACGGGCTTTCCAAAAGTGCTCGTCACCCCAGTGGTCGTGCAGCACGGTCTCGGCACTGAGGATCGCGTATACCCGCATGTCGTCAACGTCCTCGGCCCCGGCCGTATCCTCTGTGATGGCCTCACGCAACAGCCGCTCCAGCAGCCCAGCACTACCCTGAAAGTGAACGCAATGGTACTGTCCGTAGCGCAGCAGATTCTGCGATAGCAACGGGCCCCCCGCAGTTGAGTATTCGTTGCAAGAGTTATTGTCTAGCTTGGGAGCAACCCGCTCGTACTTGTCGCGGAAGATGCCCTGCTCCAGCATGATCTCGTAGTGCATGAGGCGGAAAACTTGCGAGATGTGAACGTAGGGCGGGGCCGGCATACCAAACATACGGTACTCGGCGAGGAACTCACTGTAGTCTAGGACGGGGGCGTAGCGGCGCAGGCTGTCCAGGTCGAAGAAGTGGCCCCAGGCCACGTCGTTCTGCTTCAAGTGGTGCGAGTGCCAGTGGTAAAGGCGTGGAAATGGCGGCAGCACCAAACGAACATTTTGGAAGCGTTTGCGTCTGCGAAGACGCCGAACGAACACGGCCAAGCGGATGTAAACATCGCGACGCAGATTGAAGCCCTCGGAGATGTTCACATCGTAGAGTATGTAGACGGTGCCCCGCAGGGGCAATATACCGGGAGGACAGGTGTCCATCAGTGGAATCGTTTGCCAGAATTGCCGGCTCTTGCAAACATTGCTGTTGCTCCTGACGGCCGTTCGGTGGGACTCTGTGCGGTTGCGGGTCGCTGGCCGATCCGCGATAGCAATCGAGGATGGCAGTAAAAGGAGCACCAGCAGCAGCCTCAGCCCAGAACACCGCCACCTATGCATTTTATGCATTTTTAAACTTTTTAAAACTTAAAATTACATCAGACTGACCGCAGCAAGACTCCGCGCGAAATCCTTAAAACGCGTTGCCAAAAGTTGTTAGTGCGTCTCTTTAATACCTCGTGGCGCCAACATTATAACTTCAAATCTATAGCAAATACTCGTTTTTTTTTGTTTATCCAATGGTTATCTGTTAAAAGCGACGCTTTAAAGTTCCAAAATGAATGGTTTATAATAACGCTTAGCTAAAATATAAAAAAAACAAAGGCCATTGTTTTCGTGTCCAGCCACGCAAAAGCTAACACTTGTCGGAGCTTTCCCTAATCAGCAAACAGCTGACACAAGCAAAACATATACATATATATTCGCCTTTGCATTTGTTTTCATTATTCAGATACGGTAGCAGGGCACGAGATGCGGATTCCTCCAGCTCCACGACGTGCGTAACAATAGTACAAATTAGAATTTCAATAAGTTAGACTAGGGCTAGATACTAGGCCTTATCCCCCCCCCCCTCCTCCACGACAATAAACGGTAAGCAAAAAATTTGTAGATATTAAAAAATCGCAAAACAGCAACAGAAACACCAAAAACAACGAGGACGACGACGAATACGGATTACCTGTCACGATCTTCTAAGTTTTACAAGCGACGTAATCATATCAGTCGTCTGGGTTTTTATTTTCTTGCTTGGTGACTGGCAGAACGCCAAACGTGCCGTTAATTTTCCATTCATGTGTGGGCACCCCTCTACCCCCGTCTCGAATTACATAAAAATCCTTGTGAGCCATACTTCCGTTAGCTTTTGCTTTTTCCTCCGTCGCTCTCTCTCATTCGTACATACGCTCTTTGCGTGCACACCAAATGTTGAATCCCACTAGAAAATACAGCACTCGCCCCACACTAATTCATTCGTTATATGAGTGCACGCACAGCGGCTGCAAAGTTTCCACTAGGCTGGTAACATGCTGTTGCTCCATCTCGCTTGCGCAGCCGGCCATTTGATTTGGCAAGGCAAAGTTTATGGTCAAGATCACTGTAACGGTATTGGAATGCGCTCTCTCACGGGATGAGTTTCAATTGCGAATTGCAACCTCAATTGCCGTCGCATGGCGTGAGAGACGTTCCCTCATCTCTCACAAAATGTTCGAAATTAGAAATTACATTCATTTGGCGTTTGCACTTTTAGTTTCTGTGAATCGTTTGTGGCGACCGACCGAATAGCCGAACAGGGCTCCTAATCCGCACAAAAACAAAAAGCAAGTATCCCTGAGCTATGTGTAAATTTTGTGCGTCTTCAACATGGCCAACGGCAACAAAAACCGAGATTCTGACCTTGGGGGTGATGGGATGGCTTCCTCTATAGTCGTCGTTGTTTTTGCTTTCTGTTGCTGGTTTGGGGATCAGGAACTAGGTACCAGGCTGCTCAAGCTCTCCTCTCTCGCGTGTGCACTTAGAATTCCCGACAATCCATGCCAAAATGGTGCCTCAGGCTGTGAAGCTGCTTCAAATGTCGCTGGGCCAGTGGAGACGAGGCGTTGTCAAGGTGAAGGTGCACCCCATGGCCAAGGGCGCCCTCACATACGCGATCATGTGGCCCACGGGCAGTCTGATCCAGCAGGCGCTGGAGGGACGCAATCTGAGTAAGTGGCTTCATCATCCTCATCATCATCCACGCCCCTCATTCCCTTTGCATCCGCAGAAGACTACGACTGGGCCCGGGCCCTACGCTTCAGTCTGTTCGGAGCCCTTTACGTGGCCCCCACACTCTACGGCTGGGTGCGACTCACCAGTGCCATGTGGCCGCAGACGAACCTGCGCACGGGTGTCGTCAAGGTAAGTTCACGCAGCGGGAGCTCACAGCGTGATTAGCGCTTGACTTACTTCGGCCACAAACCACTTGCAGGCCATCACAGAGCAGCTCTCCTACGGACCCTTTGCTTGCGTCAGCTTCTTTATGGGAATGAGCCTGCTGGAGTTCAAGAGCCTGGCCGAGGCCGTCGAAGAGACCAAGGAGAAGGCGGTTCCCACATACAAGGTAGCGTATACCCGTATCCATTTCTACGTGCGCTTCCTCCTCTCACCTCATTACTAACATTCCCGGCAGGTCGGTGTGTGCATCTGGCCCTTCCTGCAGACCATAAACTTCTCCCTTGTGCCGGAACACAACCGCGTCGTCTTTGTGAGCATATGCAGCCTGATGTGGACCATCTTTCTGGCATACATGAAAACGCGTCACTCCGAGGAGCAAACGGAGGGCGACGGCACTACCACGGATCTCTCCTGTACATAGTCCCCTCTGTTGTTTGTTGTTTGTGTGTTCCCTTAGGTAAATTCTTTAGGACAAAATTAGATAGAATTAGCGCACATTCAAAGGATTTTTATTCTCATATGGCGAGGGTGTTTATGACGACAAAACTGGCGGCGTGCGTCCCACAATTAGCTGACCAATCCAAAGCGACGACGACGGCGTGGGGGAGGAGGCACCCACTGTCTCCACAATCCAGTTGACATATGCAGACACCTCCGTGAAAACGCCCGGATAGGGCGGACGGGCACAGGGCTTCACGCTCCACGACACGATACCGATCTGTGTATCCGATCCGGCTAGCAGCAACGGACCACCGGAGTCTCCGCTGCACTGGCCCTTGCCGCCCTCGGGCACTCCGGCGCAGATCTGGGTGGAGTGCAGTTGTGTCTGGTGGCGTTTGCTGCAGTCAACGTCGCTAAACACCTGCAGCTGGACCTTCTGAAGCTGCAGCTGGACCACGCCGCCCGTCTGAAAGAAGACAACGATCTAATGAATGGATTAATTCTCAATACTGGCGCAACTCGTACCGCATTTAATCCCCAGCCGGCAAGCACGGCGCTGCTGTTGCCGAGTGTCGGCTGCTCCGGCTCTGGGAGACGAACCGGTTGGACGCGAGTACCAAGAACAACGGGATCCTTCAGCTGCAGCAGAGCGATGTCGTTCACATATTTGTCGTGTGGCTCATAGCCCGGATGCACATGGATGGCGGCCACCTGCACCAGTTTGCTGGCGTTTCTCGCCAGACTCTGGCTGCCGTACTGGAGGTTGAGCTGCTGCGGCGTCGATCCCCGCACGCAGTGGGCAGCCGTTAGTACCCAGTCCGAGTTAAGCAGAGTGGCGCCACACGAGTGGTGACCGCTCTTGGCGCGGCGCAGCGACACCACGAAGGGGAACTCGCCCGGCGAGGCGGTAGTCCCATTAACGATCTTACCGTCGTCCGCAAAGGTTCCAACCACGACGGAGGTCAACAGGAGCAGGCCAATCGGTCCGCACAGAACCATGTTGGGTGTCTATGTACATGGCCCGCTATCGATGTTGGGCATTTTATGGGGAAATTGGATGTGGGCCCGCATTCCCGTCTGCTACTACAGTTGGCCATGCTGGGTTCTTGACGGGTTTTGAGAGTAGGACAGGGGCTTGATTACGCATGCAAATTATATACGAAACTGAAAGCGATTGTTTGCAGCGCCGTGATTACAATGGCTGCTCCGCTGCTGTGGCAGAACTTCAAGGTGTTCCTCACCAGGTATCCGATAGCGCGTGGCATGATATCGTACAGCCTGATTTGGCCCTCGGGCAGCCTCATCCAGCAGACATTCGAGGGCAAGAGGTGGGGTGAGTGTGGTGGATGCTCTGCCTTGGTTAGGCTTTCTGTTATGCTTAATCTGTCTCCAGGCAACTATGACTGGTGGCGCGTGATGCGATTCAGCATGTACGGCGGCCTCTTCGTGGCACCCACTCTTTATGGATGGGTTAAGGTAAGCCGCAGCTCCAGAGCCTTGACGATTACATCTTTTAATTTTGTTCTTTGTTTCTTTTTGTAAAGGTGTCTAGCGCCATGTGGCCGCAGACCTCACTGCGAACGGGTATAATTAAAGCGGCGGTGGAGTCCATATCGTACACACCCGGTGCCATGACCTGCTTCTACTTCATCATGAGTCTGCTTGAGTCCAAGACGGTCGAGGAGGCTGTGACCGAGGTTGGGAAGAAGTTTCTGCCCACCTACAAAGTATAAATCAACCAAAATATTCCGCCGTTACTCTCCACTCACGAATTAATTCCGATCCGCAGGTGGCTCTGTCTGTGTGGCCCCTGGTGGCGACCATTAATTTTAGCCTTATACCAGAGCGCAACCGAGTGCCGTTCATTAGTGCCTGCAGCCTGTGCTGGACGTGCTTTCTTGCTTATATGAAGCATTTGGAGCACCACGAGGTGGATGTAGCCATTTAATTAGTAGCTGTTGTTGTTATTCTACCCATTGTATTAATTATTTAAATTCAATTTAAATAAAACTAGCTTTTAAGCGAAATTTCGCGTGTGACCGCATTTTGATGGGAAAGAAATACCAGAAAACACCAATATGTCCACGAGCAGTGTGGTAAACGGCGTACTTTTGAGTGCTGCAAAACTCTGGAAGCCCCACCTATCTGTTTCTGCTTTGGTTTGGGTGTGTTTCATTTGTTTACGCTCCGTTTTGTATGATAAAAGTGCACATATTTTCTTCAATTGTGTTCCCATTGCGACATTGAGGTCTTCTCCAGAAATATGCGTGAACTAAACAAACAGCAGTCGCAGGACACTACAGATGGGGGCATCGAGAAAGGCGACTATCCGCGTGCCACAAGTGAGTGACGCAGACGCAATGGCGATTTCACGCCCGCATTCATAATGATGCACATCCAATGATCATCTTTATTATCTCTAGATGGCGTTGTCTTCGGGGCAATACTCACCTTTGGCAGCTCCTTTGTGCTGATGATGTCCTTCTGTTCGCCGTACTGGATCGAGTCGTATGAAGAGACCCGCAGCAGCTTCAAGAACATGGGCCTCTGGCAGTACTGCTTCAAGGACTTTGTCTATCCCAAGTACGCGTTCCCCAAGCAGTTCACAGGATGCCACAACATCTTTTCCCATGTATGTTTTGATCAGAATAGATTTAGATTCAGATTAAGGCTGATTTCTCCTCTTTCTCTACAGGAGTACTATGTGATTCGTGAGTATCTGCTGCCTGGTTGGCTGATGGCCGTGCAGGGGTTCGTCACCATGTCCTTTATCATTGTGTTCCTGGTGCTGACCCTGCTCGCGTTGACGATCATCCGACTGCCCCTTAAGCCCGTCCTCCAGTACGAGTGGCTTCTTGTTCGCCTCTCCTACATGGGCACTGCCATCTCGTGTATGTATGCCATATTTTGTGCAGTCAAACAATCAATCAATCAATCAATGGTCTTCTCATAGCCCTATTCATGTTTCTGGCCGTTTGCATCTTCGGAGGCTGCGCTTATCGTCGCGATTGGCTAATGTACCCCCGATTCAATGTGCTGGGCTGGTCCTATGCCATGGCCGTTGTGACCTTCATGCTGCTGGGCCTGGCCGCCCTCATTCTGCACCGCGAGGCACGTCAGGCCTTCGAGGCACGCGGCGAACAAAAGAACCTGGTCATGCAAATGGAAATGCAGGAGCCGGGCTACCAGCCGCCACGCCACCATCACAGCCAATCGCGCAGTCTGCAAGGCTACATATAGATGGGAAGTCATGGACCCACTGAAACTTCAATGCATTCCATTCCACGCGAATCTTTGTATCTAGAAATAGGTCTATAGGTCTCTCTTCCTATCATATCACCTGCAATCTGCAATCTCTACGTTTAGCAATCTCGTAACTTCAGCAATCGAAGCCGTCCAAAAGTGCCTTCTCCCTACAATCTAACCATCGAATATTATACATATTTATACACGCCGAGCATCTATCGAGCTCGAGCTCCGACTCCATTTATATACATGTATTAAAGAGCACACATACACTGACTCAAAGACACCCCCGACTTGGTCTATTCTAGCGGGCGGTGAGGGAGCAAGGCGGTGCGTCTCCGCTTAATATGTTTCTGTTAGTCTCTTATCTAGCTGATAGTCTGCGACGCTGATTGCCAATTGGAGCTGGTAGAGCTGTTTATTGATGGGCATCCCATCTCTATGTCAGTGAGGGTCGGGCACTTCAGTGACGAAGCTCGCAACACAGGTTGATTCATCGAAAATGGGACATGGAACATTGTTTAGACTGGAACTGGAACTGGGTTGCTTTGTATGGCTTCTCATCTGCGGCAGTGTGGGTAAGTGGTGGTTCCAATCCTTATCAGAGGCCGAAAACGGAAATTGGCGTAAAACAGGAGGCAATCGATTTGGGAAAGCAGATCAGATTTTTTTTTGGTGATGCTTTATAGCCGTCTTCCTCTTCTAACAGCCGCCCAGACAGAGACACAGCCGCGAATCATCAACGGCAGCGTGGCCAAGGTGGAGGAGACCAGGCATCTCGTTTCCATTCGCCTGAGAAGGCACGACAATAACTTTGGCAGCGGACATATTTGTGGAGGAGCCCTAATTGGGGTCAACAAAGTGCTCACCGCCGCGCACTGCCTCTACAAGTGAGTAGTCCGCTCAGCCGCATGTGCATCTACTGACCCACATTCCCCTAAGCAATGGAAGGAAACGCTATCGGAGGCCTAGCGAACTGATTGTGGTCATGGGCACCCTGAACCGATACGAACGCCTAAACAGCACCATTGTGTGTGAGGTGAGCTCTATGGCCTACATGAATACCTTCAGTCCGGACAGCATGCGCGACGATGTAGGGGTACTCTTCCTGCGTACGGGCTTGATCCGCCCTGATCCGTCCAGCGTAGCCCCAATCCAGTTGGCTAGGCAAGTCACGCCACCGGGTCGGGTTTGCCAGGTGGCCGGCTGGGGACGCACAGAGCAGGTGAGTGGACCTGTCGACATCCCACTCTAATCATCCCGCTGTAATCCCTCTGCAGAGCACCCTGTCCAACATTCTTCTGACGGCCAATGTGAGCACCATTCGGCAGCAGACCTGCCAGAGCATATACAAGTCGGGCCTGCTGCCGGGTATGATGTGTGCTGGCCGCCTCCAGGGCGGCACTGACTCATGCCAGGGTGATTCCGGAGGTCCGCTGGTGCACGAGGGCCGCGTCATTGGTGTCGTTTCCTGGGGCTATGGCTGTGCGGAGCCTGGATTGCCGGGAGTATATGTGGATGTACAGTACTACCAGCAGTGGATCGATGAGCGGAGTGGTGTGGCCCGATCCAGGACGTCTCCTGGCCTGGGCCTTAGTTTCAGTCTGCTCTTTGGCTTCTTGACTTTTACAGCCAGTACTCTCGTGGAGTACTAAAATATATATACTATTCATGTAGTTATAAACCATAAGCAAATGTATATTCCTGCTCTGCAGGATACGGATACTTCTTCCGGGGAGTGCCCTCAGGTTTCCAATCAACAATCAACATTTATTTACAGCGAAACACACATGTAGAACCATAAACGAGATAAAAACAAAGAACTCTGGGTGAAATTTGCGGGTGAATCAGTTAGATCTCCTTAACAATTGCGACAATTGCGTCGCCCACGGCCAGAGGGCTCACCGGTCATCTCGTGGAGACGCAGCAGTTCCGGGCCATAGGCAATGTTAGGCAGGCACCGGGACTGGGTCAACAGCAGGGAGAGCTCCCGATTGCAGGCGGCGTTCTCAATGCGATCCATGACGCGGCCTACGAGCAGCTGTACAGCCTCCTGGACATTGGCACCGGTGCAGGCACTCGTCTCGATGTAAGGCAGACGGTATCGGCGACACAGGGCCGCCACCTGGTCGCGGCTAACGACACGCAGCTGGAGCAGGTCGCACTTGTTGCCGCACAGAACCACGTCCGGATCCTCGGAGTAGGCGTGCATACGCAGCTGCTCTAGCCAATTGACGGTCTCCAGAAAGGACTTCTCGCTAGTCAGATCGAAGATGAGCAGAAAACCCATCGCATCCCGATAGAAGGCCGTGGTCAGGGATCTGAAGCGCTCCTGCCCGGCCGTATCCCAGATTTGCAGGTGTATGCGATGCCGACGTCCGCGCGAGTTGTAAACCTGTTAGGGGACTGTTAGTATGTAACTTTAGAAAGCTAGAAGAGATATACCTACCAACCGCTTCTCGCGGAAATCAATTCCCACCGTGGAGATGAACTGTGTGTTGAACCGCCCGTCTGTGTACTGGTATAGCAGGCAGGTCTTGCCCACCCCCGAGTCGCCCAGCACCAGGAACTTGAGCAGGTAGTCGTAATCGATGTTGGTGTTCGTCATGGTCTCGTTCTGGATGTTCCGTTGTCTGTGGCGGCAGCAGACGCATTCCGTCTTGAAAGCAGGGGAGACAAAGCATGGAGATTGATTGAGGTCGGGTCTAGGCATCCATCCTCTGTTCCCTGAATACCGTCTGGTTCTTTGGCTACCCACCTAAGCCCTTGACTTAAAGTGACAGGCGGAACAGGAACAGGTGGGGGGCACTATATTCACATCTGCCTCGCTTTTCCAGCAAATATTTGAAACTCATTAAATCCCGATTTATTGATTTTCTGTCTCGCTTTCCGTCTTGGCGAAATTTCGTTGAATAGCTCGTCGAGAGGGTGATGGGTATGTGGATTTTTTTAACGGTACTTCAAAAAACAAAAATATACATATACGGACTCATTGCATACCCAGGAACACAGATTGGCTATGAATTCCATCTTGATTTTTGAGTGGCGATGTCAAAATGATTGACATGCGAGGCATACCTTTAGCTCAGGCAGCGCATTAAAGAGACACCTTTTTAAACGGTATTTCCAGAACTTTTCATGCAAAGGAAGGGCACGCACAAAAGAGAGAAACAGAATAGAAAGAATGTTTCATTCTTGCCTTCTTCCTTCTAATTAGACACATAGCAGCAAATGTGTTTCATCAGAGCATTGAAGAGGGGCATCAGCATCCGTGGATTATGGACTTTTTCTGGGGTCTCCGAGAGGGAGGGTAATTCCTCTGCACAAACAAGCTGTTGCTAGACAACCGGCCGCCATGCTTGCTCCTCTCTCCTTCTCTTCTCTCGAGAAACACACCCATACACACACACACACAATTGAGTAGAGCGACAAGTAGTACACTGTGCGACACAATCAATTATTTGTCAGACGCGGGAACAACAGATTGAACCGATGCTTCTGGTCCTTTTTACTGTATTTTGCCGTGCAGTGTCGCACGTGCAATCTAATAGTCCATGGCCTATTTGCATAGGGTGAGGAATTGCCAAGGAAGCACTCTCCTACGGTATAGTCGTATGACGTTTTGTGTGTGTGTATGCGACTCGGGAACGGTAATGCTAGTACCCTGTATTCATATGCTCTGTTATTAACCGGGAGCTGCACTCTCTTTGCCTCTCTATCTCTTTGTAATAGAGTCCTCTATTGCTCTCGCCTAGTAATATAATTTCCTTTTTCTGTCTCCGCTTCCGCTTTCCTCATCATTGAGATGATTTCCATTCCCCTTCACTGTCCCTCGCTACAAAGAAACACTTATTTTCCGCTGCTGTCTATTGCAGTGACAGGTGAAGGGCATGGAACTAAGAGGGATTCCAGGAAATCGAATTAGCATCGACGGCACACAAAAGTATGTACGCATCCGCCCCAACAGCCAGCAGCAGCCAGCCAGCCGCCTGAGCAGTTAATTTTAAACCGTTATTGATTTGGAGAGGGATCGAGCAATTACTTAGATGCCTCACCATGCTTTTCCCATCCTCTCCCATGCAGGGGCTCAGGTGGACTTTGAGGCTGACACTAAAATAGACCTTCGGCCCTGGCTTCGGATGGCATCCAGGATGTGGAGTTTGTTCTCTGATTGGGTTAGAAGGTCGTAATCGGATTTCATCCGCACAGAAACAACAAACCACCAGGCAATTAGGGCCATAACAAAGTACGAACAAGACTCTTCCCCACTCCTCTCACGTTACCACTCTCAGGGGTTGAGGGCAGAGTGCGGAATTTGGTGGCCGTGGGTTGCATTTGCATTCACCTGTGTGTGCGGGTGCAGTTTTCATTGAGATTTCGGATCCGTAATGAGATCCTGATGTGTGTGTTGTGCGGGCGCTCGAAGCTGTTCAGGTGCAGCACATGAACAGAGAGTGGTTTAAAAAAACGCGAGCTAAAACTAGGGCTCACCTGGTGTCTGACCTCTACTCCTTGCTATCCGCACTCGAGGGCTAATTAGTGTTGCACGTGACCAAGACGCAGCATTCCGTACTGGCACTCTCAGCTTTGACTTTGGCGCCCAAAGTGTGTGGCAAGGCGCTTAGGCGACGGGGGAGGGCCACTCTTGCGGGCGTGGGGCTGTCAAGGATGCTGTGGTGCTGAGCAGGTGCTACCGAACGGGTATTTTTAGCACCCGCACTTTGTTTTCTTTGGCCTATGCTCTCTGCACGTAGCTCTCGAACGCTGCAGCACACAGCAAGAATTACATTCGATGGATGAAAATACGAAAATTTCCCAGTCAATGGCTCAGTGCAACGCACCTGGAGACGGGGCACGCAGAGCTATGTTCCCTGCACGACCTGTTGCCATGCGTTGCCTAGCACAAAATAGCTGGCTTTTGGGGCAGATAAAAAGCCCGCACCGAGCAGGCCAAGCCAAAGCTTAAGACTTGCGACTTGGGGCGGGTTCGACGCAAGCTTTTAGGGAGGCGTAAAAGCTGCAACGGTTCCATTTTGCATGATTTCATACGTGGAAAATGTAGGAAGTTGTCAACACTGGCAGTGACAGTGCTCGAAAGAAACCAAAAGAGATTTTTGTATCGGAACGATATTCAACCGATATTACGAAGGTATTTTTCTGCCAAGCCAGTTGAGGTCGCACTAAGCGTGTGTGCTCGTGTGTTGTGATATTTGAAAAAATTGTCGCCAAAACGCTGACTGACATAGCCATGGATAACCCGAATATAATTGTTACAAATGCACAGTTTGACTGGGACGCCATCAATGTTGGTGACTACAACCTGGATCACTCGCAGAACTTTTTTGGTACGTCGCCCGCATTTTGTCTGCGCGTCCGATTTACAGTAAGCCACAAAAACGCGCCATTTTTCTGTCTCCCGCAGCTGCTGCAAACAAGGAAAATAATCCGCTGAACAATGGGAACCTTCTCCTGGGAACCACTACCACTCCGCAGGCGAAGATGGCTATCAAGGTGGAGCAACCGAGTGCCCTCTGCTGGAACTCCGACAGCAACGATGTGAAATTACCAACAGGACCAAAGGAGGAGCAGCAGGTCGATGCTAATCCACCAACTAGCGCCCAAGAGCCAAAGAAGATGCAGCAGGTCAATGCTAATCCATCAACTTGCCCAAAACAGGAGCCAGCGGAGGAGCTTGTCAGTGATGGAGAACCAATAACTATACCAAAACCGAATACAGAGTTGAGCCCGGATGCGCCCGTGAAGAACGAGGACGAAGTTGAGTACCCGAATGAGCCGGAAATGGGTTTAAAGTTGCGAAGCCAGTGGTCTCCCCGGCCGCACACACACCATCAGGATGCCGGCCCGGCGCCGCCAAAGGCGTACGAATTCATGAACATATACCAGCATAATCGCGAGCTCGCAGCGCGCCGGCGCACTGAGGACGAGCGTAAGGCGCGACAATTCCACAGTCGACCAATGCCCAATTTCCCGGCGTTGCACAAGCGATTGGACGAGATCGTGGTCTGCCACAAGATAACAATTCCAAAGACACCGGAAACTGTGAAGCATTGGCAGATTGATTTGGACCGCCGCAAGAGCAAGGAACAACAGCAACCCCAGCTCAATAAAGTTCGCCGCCTGCTCCACCTCCACGACGATCAGCCCTGCCATCCCAGACCGTTCCAGCTGCGCAGCGATCAGCGCGTGCGCGAGCGCCGCGAATATGACGCTGCTGTGCAGGTCAGCCTGGAGAAGAAGAAAAAAGAGGTAAATGTATGTGAAACAAATATTTTTCAGCCATCTCTTTGTCCGTTATGTTTAAAATGTCGACCCTCGGCGATACTATCGATAGGCAACGTTCTATGGGTGAAGCTGGTTCCGGCAATTTCGATAGCTGGGGGCATCAGAGAGTTCCGCTGAACCAGCTCACATCTACGTGCTCGCAGAAATAAACTTATTTTTAAGTGTTTTGGGAACGCCACTGTGCTTTAGCCTCTGAAACTTCGAGTTGAGTGGGACCCAATCATATCAACAAGCCCAGAGAACATTCTCACATTCGACAGAAACAATATAAATCATCGAAAAAATACTAAAACGTACAGGGAGCCAAGTTTGTTTTTGTTGTTACTGGTGTGAGTGAGTCATGGCGTTTCGGACGGCGTAGAAAAAGGTCGTCGAGCATTGTGCATTGCATAAAATAAGCGTGCAGCAGCAAGCCCCCCCGCACAAGAGCGCACACAACAGTTGACCGGAGTCAGCGGCACTGCGGACCCCAGTCCAAACGGTGGAACAATCAAAGCGTACGGAAGGATTTGCAACAGCTGCGCCCATATCTACACGCACGCACCCACACAGTCGCGGCAACAGTCAGTCAGTGTCACACACTCGCGCACTCGCTCGCACACTCTCGCACAGCCACGCACTCACACAAGCAACAGAAGCCGTCTGTCGTCACAGTTGAGTACTTTTTGGTTTTTTTTTTATGTTCAGCCACGGGCGGCAGCACTCAGTGGAGAAGCCAGTCACAGCAGCAGCAGCAACAGTCGTCGGTAGTGGAGAGTGAAGAGTGGAGAGTGTCGCAACCAGTGACCAGGGAACCGAAGAAGCGGGAAGACGATAGAAAACAGTGTGTGTGGAGCCAGAAACGCGGAGAGAGAGTGAGAGAGATAGCCAGACCCAGCGCCAGAGCCAGACCCACTTTCGCCAGTCGAACCGAGCCAGTAGCAGTCGGCACCACCATGGTAGATCGTCTCGTCAACTCGGAGGCCAACACGCGCCGCATCGCCTCCGTGGAGAACTGCTTCGGTGGCTCCGGTGTACCGCTGGCCGTCCCCGGACGCGTACTCGTCGGCGAGGGTGTGCTGACCAAGATGTGCCGCAAGCGGCCAAAGTCACGTCAGTTCTTCCTTTTCAACGACATCCTTGTGTACGGAAACATTGTGATCGGTAAGAAGAAGTACAACAAGCAGCACGTCATGCCTCTGGAGGAGGTATCGCTGGACTCGATCGTGGACAACCAGCAATACCGGAATGGCTGGTACATACGCACCACTACTAAATCGTTTGTGGTGTACGCGGCCACCAGCACCGAGAAGCAGGAGTGGATGGCCCACATCAACAAGTGTGTGGAGGATCTGTTGCGAAAGAGCGGCAAGAAACCCGTGGAGAATCACGCCGCCGTTTGGGTGCCGGACACGGACGCCAGCATCTGCATGCACTGCAAGAAGACGCAGTTCACCTTCATCCAGCGTCGGCACCACTGCCGCAGCTGCGGCGCCGTCGTCTGTGCCGGCTGCTCCTCGAAGAAATTTCTGCTGCCCCAGCAGAGCACGAAATCGCTGCGCGTCTGCGATGCTTGCTATGAGCGCCTCAAGCATGTGCCCAGTGGTGCTGGCGAAGAGTCGGCGGGCTCGGCCACTGGCGGCGTCAAACACAATGCCAGCGGACATGGCCTGGCGGGTGATAGCTCCAACGATGAGGACACTGACGAGGAGACAACGTCGCCTGGCGGCGAATCGCACGACGAGCCGCGCTTCTACGGCGACAGCAGCGTGCTTTCCGCGGACGACAGCCAATCCACGATAGCCACGACGACCTCATCTTCAACGACGACCGTCAGTCCTAGCCAGAATCCCGCCGTGGCCTCCTCAATGACGGGCTCCAATTGTTGAGCAGCACACAGACGGAGCTACAGACGGACAACAACACGATCCGATTAAGGGTACCCGCCAACATATTCATACATATATATTTGTACTTGTCCCATTATACATTTATACCCTTTATGCTTCTCGAGAGTTGGCCACTCGTTCACTCGACCTTGCGCAGTGCTTAAGTTTTCTCCGCTCGTGTTTTCTGATCTTATGCGAAAATTCCATTCCCCCGGCTCCGTTCTGCATGTTTGTGTGTGATAATCTTATCAGGCCCGGCCGCTTGTTCTTACTCTATTTTTCACTGGCAAACAAACCCGCCAGTAGAGCCAGCGGAACAAAAACGAGATGGAGGCAGAGGCAGAGATACCAAGTGGGGGTGGGGTTCGATATCGGAGCCGGGAGATGGAGCCCCAGGGTCAGCGTCAGAAGAGGGCCTGGATGATAGCGATAGCGCACTAAATTCCCCGCCATGACTCAGGCTCTGAGGCTGAGCTCTGTCCCAGCCATAAGTCGGGTTTTGTGTGTGTGGCCCCGTCTGATAATGGTAGATCAGCGCGACTGGGAGGGAGCGTCTCGAGGCTGGACAAATGACTCAGTCGGCACCCCATCAGTCCATCAGTCACCGACATATCAAAAATTCCCGCCTCGTGCTGGAGCGGTTACATAAGTGTCGTCTAATTAGAACTGGGGGGAAACAGCTGTTGGGCTCGTACACTTACTCTGACACTACGATTAGATAAACAATTGGCTAACCCTTCATTTTTCCTCCTACCGTTTCAGCAAGACGAACAACGGAAGCGATGCGAGGAGGAGCAGATCAAGGAGATACGGAAGATGACGGTATTCAAGGCGCGTCCAAATCCCTTCAAGTAGCGCCCGAGCTATAAAAACCCACAAATTGTCCAAATTTCGATGTTAAGGAACCCCATCCCTCCCCCATTGTGCATTCTTCGGGCGCGTTTTAAGAAATTTGTTTTCCACTTTCCCGAACTGTAATCTGTAATTAAGAGCAAGACTAGGCGTTACGCGGGGGTGAGGATTATACATATACATACATACAATACATATACTTTTGTACTCGAGATCTGGTCAACATAAAGGCAAAAAAATTCTATCCATAAGCAGAAGCATAAGCCAGAAGGACATCTAAAGCAAATTAAATGATATTTCATTTGCCGAAAGCGGCAGGCGCAACCTCCTACCAGGAGATATCCCAGAGATCAGCGCCATGGCAACAGACACACGTACACACGTACTATATAGTTTTTACCAGAATAACTCGATTTGTCTCTAACATTATTTTATACGTACATTCGTTCGTTTATATATATATATACACTATTTTTTGTCGATGGGAGTCGTAGCTTCTCGGATGGGAAGGATGACTATATGAATAATATATATATGTATACCATTAGGCAATTTGCAATTGCAATCATTAACTGTTTTCTATTTGTAATAAGTCGAATGAAAAAAAAAAACAAACAATAAATAACTGTAAATTGATGCGATGCGTCTGTGGAATTGAATGTGCGTTGGGAAGGGATGGAAGAGACTAAATAAGTGACTTGTTGCGGCGATTTTCGCGTTGAATTTGTGCGGGCGTCCCTTCCGCTCGCCATTGCCGACCGAAACAAGTTTTCAAATACCAATTTCCAATTATTTACAAAAGATCACTGTGCAAAAATCCCAAAAATAATAAATATAATATCCCTTAATTGATAGGAACACACAATTGCCGTACAAAATGTCCCATCCCTTTCTAATCCCTGCTGCATATGCAGAGTGCAGCATCAGACGCTAGCTAGCTATCTTTCTCGCTCTAAGCCAAGCCACAGAAAAAAAAATGAACACGTGGTAATTTTCGGGGGAAACATAAATAGATGTTTATTTATGTTGTAGAAGAATCGTTCAACATGAGGCGTTGAGCTGTCATCATCTTAGAACTGGCCATCACTTCCCCAGGAGGTCTTGACGGTATCCTCATTCCAGTCCTCCACACCGCCAACAGTCTCGGCGGCGACCTCATCGGCCCAGTTGGTGGTCTCCTCGACGGGATGGTCGACAACCTCCTCGATCTTGGGTGGTGGCAGCAGCTCCTTGGCGGCGGCCTCCTCCTTCTCAGCCTCCTCAGGATCGCGGTAGAAGTACAAGTCAACGACCACAGGCCACTCGACGGTGCGCGAGATGGTGCCACGCAGACGGAGCACCTCACGGGCCAACAGCCACCACATCAGACCAATGGAGTGGGCAGACTTGTTGTTGCATGGAATAGCAATATCAATGTAGCGCAAAGGCGAGTCTGTGTTGGTGAAGGCAATCACGGGGATGTTCACGTACGAGGCCTCCATGATGGGCTGGTGATCGGTCATGGGGTCGGTGACAACCAAGAGACGGGGCTCGCGGAAAGCGGGCTGGATCTGATTGGTGAAGGCACCGGGTGTGAAGCGGCCAGCAATGGGAGTTGTGTCCGTGTACTTGGCGAACTTCAGCACAGCGCGCTGGCCGATGGGACGCGACGAGATGACGAAGACCTGTCGAATGAAAGGACAAAATTAGTTATCTGCATTTTACTGCGACCGTGGAACCCTGGCTTTTCTGTGGGCTTGTGAGGCGTGGCATATCAGCTTTAAGTTGAAATCATTGCATTTCATACCCGAAAGATACAAAAATCATCATATGAACCACGGGGTCGGTCCTCACAAAAGCAGAATATAGAGCTAGGCGCACAACTTACATCTGAGGCGTTCTCAATGGCCACGATGGCGCGAGCGGCCAGCTGGAGCTTCTCCCAGGTCTTGCCCAGGTTGATGATGTTAACACCATCAGCGCGACGCTTGTACACGTACTGCTCCATCTGGAAGTTGACGTTCTCCGACCCCAAGTGGGTGGTGGCAACCAACATCTTGGTAATGTCATCCTCTTTGAGGGACAAGATATCTAAGCCTCCCGACATTTTAACGTTGAAAGAGTTACGGAACCTGTGAAGTGGAAATAAAAACTCGTGTTAACTCTCCGTCGCCTCAACATAACCTAATTCATTTTCACTTCCACGTGCTCCACCTAACAAAATGTGCAAAAATCACACAATATGTATTGCCGATGATTGCACATTGCTGGGCTTTGCCTATGTGCTTTGGATTTCACCATTGCACAGTCCTATCCACATTTTCTTTAAATATCAACAATTTGGCACGGAACTTACGTCTGGATGCCGCTGGGAGTTTTGACAAAATGGCCGAGAAACTGTGTTATCGCGGGGTTATCGATGAAACATATACGGTCCGACTCTCGGAAATATACCAAAACATATCTTCTCATTTGAAAATATACCGTAAATATACTGACGAATTCAAGTTCTATTTTGCATATTCCTCGTTTTTGATATTCCGTGGAATATTACTAGCTATATAGAACATTTAGCCGTGCCCACATAATTTTTGCCCATTGATGCCGCTGGGAGTTTTGACAAAATGGTGGAGAAACTGTGTTATCGCGGGGTTATCGATGAAACATATACGGTCCGACTCTCGGAAATATACCAAAACATACCGCCTCATTTTCAAAATATACCGTAAATATACTGACGAATTCAAGTTCTATTTTGCATATTTCTCGTTTTTGATATTCCGTGGAATATAACTAGCTATATAGAACATTTAGCCGTGCCCACATAATTTTAGCCAATTGATGCCGCTGGGAGTTTTGACAAAATGGCCGAGAAACTGTGTTATCGCGGGGTTATCGATGAAGCATATACGGTCCGACTCTCGGAAATATACCAAAATATACCTTCTCATTTGAAAATATACCGTAAATATACCGAGGAATTCAAGTTCTATTTTGCATATTCCTCGTTTTTGATATTCCGACGAATATTACCAGCTATATAGAATATTTAGCCATGCCCACATAATTTTAGAACAAAGATGAATAAATTTTCTATAAGATTGGATAGCTTTTAATCCTTGCTTTTATTGTATTTTGACTAAAACAAGGTTTAAACAAAATAGTTCAACAAAAAAACAGTCGCAATGTTGCTAGTATTTGAAGACATGATGCGTGTATAGGCCTTTGTGCACCCTATTTCGTTAATTTTATATGTAGATCAAACGCAATTTATTAAGACCTTTTCTCAAATTGATATTTTTTTTGACTTATTCATGTGTATTATTAGTATCTTGTATATATTTATCCCGATCCTGATACCTACTGAGCCTTGGAAGACAAACGTATTCACAATTCTATAACATCCATTTCCCCCAGGGTATGTGTGCATGGAATTAGCAACATGTTGGTGTATGGAATGGGACTCATTGTTGCAAAAGCGAACTGCGGCGAATTCAAATTCGATTCAAAAAACGACCAATTCTTTGTTCCGATGAATAATACTATCTATATGGAACATTTAGCCAAGCCCACTCAATTTTATACGATTGATGAATCAATTCTATACATGATTGGCCTATTCGAAATACTTGCATTTATTGGATTTTTATATAACATTGAAAATTAAATTAATAATTGACAAAAATACCATTTAGCACTAAAAAACACCATATGGGAGCGCGGCGAAAACCAGTATTTCTACAGTATGACCCTCAGAACAGCACCGAAACATACCACCTCATTTTCATAATATACCATAAATATACTGCCAAATTCAAGTTCTATTATATATATTCCTCGTTTTTAATCTTCCGTGGAATACTCTCAGCTATATAGAATATTTAGCCATGCCTACATAGTTTTATCCGATTAATGAATCTATTTTCTACTTAACTGGCATATTTTAACTACTTGCTTTTATTGCATTTTGCGTAAAAAGAGGTTTTAGCAAAAAAGGTCAAACAAAAAGGAAGTGATGGCACTTCTTCGATAGAAGTATCGATAGTTAAAGCATTTAAAAGCCAAAGTGTGTGTTAAAGGCTGGCTACTATGAAACTGGGAGCCAAATTTTAATTTTTAAGATATCACCTCTGTGCGACTTTCTAAACGATAAAATATTCAAACAAACAGCGTGTGCCTGCTACGGGAGTATCATCTGCATTTTCCCACCAAGGCTTCACGTTTAAGTTTCGATCTCGGCTGAGGAAATAAATTGAGAATTATCCAAAATCGGTCTCAGATCTTAGCCGAAGTTTTGGACCCCAGAATTGCGTGTTATGTAACCCAACTGCTTTTGACATTCAGTATTTCCGTCACAAAATTGCGTATCGGACGCTCCGCATGGCATCCCCCGTCCCAAGTGCCTCGGAGTCTTTCCCGCACGTGAGGGGAAGTCAAGAAAACTCCATAATTTAAAAATTGGTATCTTTTAAATTAGATTTCTCATTGCGGGAAGCAGAAGACACACAACAGAAAATCGCATTTTGGGAAACATGCACACAACAGGCAATTTTCTAAAACTCGGCCCCACAAAAAGCCGAAAACTCGTAAGGTATACACATTTATTGCAAGTTGTTTATATTTTAATTTACGTGTATGTTTCCTCGCCTTCGGTAACTACCACAACAATGTTTGCATGTTCCACACATTCAGCTGGCTTGCAATGAAAATTTGCTTAGTTTATGTACGTGAATATTTGTTCGTTCACTTCTGGCTTGGTTAAAAAATTGTGTGTGTGTGTTTTTTTAGTAACTTGAAATGCGATCTCTTCGCTTATTTCCTTTATTTTGTCATTTAGATTTAGATTTATATCTCTTTCCTTCGTTATTCGTTATGCTTGAAGAGATACCTGACGTTTAAAAATTTATTTCGATTTCCATTTTTTTTTATGTTTAACATCTAACAAAATGCACTCGTTTTTTGGGTGTTCTTTTGTATGGGTGTGGATGAGCATGACTGGGAGTGTTGTATTGTAGGTGTATTCTGGCTTCGGCCGTACCATTATTCTTTATCTTTATCGTAACTTAACAACATTAATAATAATAAAAAAACATCGTTTGTATACATAAACCGTTTTGTTTTTTGTTTGTTTGTTTTTTTTTTTTTGTTGGTTTAGTATAATTTTTCGTGACTTTTAGCTTATTTTTCGGGTTTAGTTTTAAATTACTAACTACTTATACAATGTAATGTTAACTTGTTTTACTTGTTTTAATTTGTCCGTAAAGGTTTGTTTTCTCTTCCCTCTCGTGCTTCTCCTTTCTGCAGCCATCTGCCACCTCAGCTGCCGTTTGTTTGTTGGCTTTTTTAACACTAAATTGTTGTTGGCCGCATTATTTTTCATCGGTTTTGTTCTTGTTGTTGTTGTTGTTGTTGTTTTGTTTTACTTTTTGTTATTACTCGTATAATAAATCTGAACAATTTGTCTTAAAAAATATATACATATACGTAATAATTAACATTTCGCTATGTTCTCCCCTCCTCCGATCCATACAATCCATCCGTAACGTGTGTATAAAATATTTTCACTACAAAAAATCACTCTTTTGCAAATAAAACTCAATAAGTTTCCCTCTCTCTCTCTCTATCTCTTTCTCTTTCTGGTTTTTGGCTGTTAACATTGTTTGCTTTTGCTTTTTTGCTGTTTGTCCGTTTCGTCCAGTTCGTTTGTCGAGTCTCTTGTGTTGTTGCTGTTTCGTTCTCTCCTCTTATCGTTTTAAACGGAAAGTGGGGGAATGGAACCAATAACGCAAGTACATATATTTAACAGAATATTAATAGTACCGTTCAACTACTTATTCGTTTGCCGTTGCCTAACGACCTATAATTGAACAGAGATGGCATCAAACAAGGAGTCTCAAAGAAGCACACGCATACATGCATATGTATATTCATGCATATACGCGCGTTATTTGTTATTTGTATTTAAAGTTGTTTTCATCAGATGGTAATTAGTGGGAAGGGGTTTGTGTGTGTCTGTGTGTCTGTGCTGTGTGAGGCATGGGAAGGGGGGAAGGATATTCACACCGACTTATAACTGTATCATTTAATTTTGCTCGTTAAGTAGACAACCGTACATACATACATATACTCTTTTTTATGTTTTTGTTTTCTCATTTGTTTTTTTACTTTTTTGTTTTGTTTTTTTTCGGTTAGGAATATACTCCTCGCTAAACACTTAGAAGACACATACATATAAACGAATATCAACACAAAACAGACAGTTATCTCGTTACTTCTTTGGAAGTTCTCATTATTTAGCTCTCGTTTAGTTCTGTGAGTGGCGTGTATATTTATCGACTTGATTAGTTAATCCATTTAATCGTTTAACTTTTTGTACACATTTAATTCGATTTTCGAGTTTTTACTTTAGTTTGGATTTAAGCACGTTTAGTCCATCCACAAGGATAATTTATAAATATTTTGCATCTCTTTCTTATTCAAGTGTGTGTGTGTGTGTGTGTGTGAGGGGTGGGTGCGGGGTGGGGGAGTGGGTGTGTGTTTGCGTGTGTGCATGAGTGAGAGAGTGTGTGTGCTCGAAAACGTGTCAGTGAGCGGCCTGGAACAAGATACTATATGTACATATGTATGTATGTACATGTCGGAATGCAAGCCACTACCGCTCTGGGACTGCCTTACATTCTGTTTAATATACGTCATATGTACATACATATGTAAGTACGAGTACTTTCTTTCCAAAGAGCACTCACAACACAACATGAATGCCTCACCCTGTATACAGACATAATCACACCTGGGTGGTGGCATTAACTTTCGACCACACACCACACACAAGAGTTGAATTATAAAGCAGAATTTCGCATTTAGTTTAGCTTTAAGCGCGGTACAAGGGAGTTAGACAGGGGGCGGGGTCCTCTTAGACGAGCAAGCGAAATGAAAGTTCTAGCGAAGCGGAAGGGCAAGCAACTTAAGGGGAAGCGCCTAGTCCGTGTTTCGTGATTCGTTATTATCTCCTAGTGAGACTCGAACCTCTTTTACATTTTATTTTATTTGTATTCTCCTTCTCTTTGTGGCAGCGGCACCTAAGCAAAATCAGTAAAAATATATATGTATGTATGTATATATTTAACTATACATATGTATGTTTTTATGGTATATTGGTTGGATTTCTTCCTGTGTATATGCATATGCATATGTATATGTACGTGTACATGCAATAACATTTATATCGTCGTAATAATAGCAAGGTAAATATACATATAAATATTTTAAGGTGTATATAGTATTATGCTGGGGCTGCACCTGGGGCTGTACCGCCCATCTCTTCTGTATGCATACCTACATACATATGTATATATGTATATATATAGACATAATTAGCTATACGCCTAGTTGAGTATAAATATTAATTATAAAAAAAAAAATGAATAAAACCAACAACCGAAAACAACAATCACAAACAATTAAACGAATTACATAGAAAATTTCTTCACGTGTAGGTCACATCTGACTCTCGCTCATTGCTCTCTCTACTCTCTGCCTGCTCTCTTTCTCTCATTGTTAACATTTCACAAGTTCAATCGCCCAAAAAGTAACGGCTGACTTCGCCCTTTCTTCGTTTCTCTTCGTTTCATTTCTCTTCTTTTCTGTTCTCTGCGCTTTCTATTTTCTTCTCTTCTTGTTCTCTTTCCTGGAGCGCCGCTCTCTCTTTATTAAAACTTATTTGTATGAAGTGCTGCTGCTTTAACTGTTAGTTTAATGTTTAGTTAGTTTTTGGCTTTACTTTTTACAATCTTTGAATTTTTGGCTTGGCTTTTATTTTGTGCAACTTTGGCTTGTGTGAGGCGCTTCGGGTTTTCTTTTTCTTTTTCGTTCAATTTCTTTGTCTTTCTCTTTCTCGTGCTCATTTTATTTGGTTATTCCTCCGATATTCTTTAACTTTTAAAAAGCTTTCAGTTTACATATTATTTGAAACATTGATTTTGATTAGGCAGGGGCACCCGCCCTCCAAGCGCCGGTTGGCCGGGGGCGCTGTGAGGCGAATGTTCTCGAGTAACTGTAAAAAAACTTGTGGCTACGTATGGTGTGTTTGTGTGCGTGCTTATTGGAACGCATTGGAAAACGCACTCTGGAAACAGGTCTAGCTGCAGTCCCCCAGTGCAGCCTTAATTCCAGCTGCGATCTGTCCGCCTCTCCTCTGGCTGGAACGCTTCAGAGCACCGTCTCCATCTCGGCGATCTCCGTCTTGTACGACCTTCGGGATCCATGGCAAATGGGACACACGAGAAAGTTAGTGGGGTATTCGGGGTGATGCTAATGGATAATGGTTAATACGAAGCATGCATGCTAAATAGAAATGGTGCACTTAAAGGATTGGGGAGGGAGGTGTCGGTGGTGCAGGACATGCGTTCCGGGACAGGCAGGACTATGCTAATTAGCCTGCCAACCAATAAAAACAAAAAAATGTGACAAATAGTAATCAGACTCTCATTGTTATGGCCGTTTTTATGCTTCCCCCAGTTCCAGTCACAGTTCGACAAACAATAGGGGAATGTGTGTCAAGGCAGACGCCTCTCTCCCTCTCTCCCTCTCTTTCTGCCATCCCTCTCCATGAGACAGGAGGGAGAGCACGATGGGGTTGTATGTACATACATATGTGTGTGTGTATGTATATATACAGATCGAAATGAAATGGAATGAGAATGGGTGTAGGAAGACCAGCAATAGGTGTACTTTGGGGACAGGGCCACATTGGAAGTCCAGGATCTAAAGCATCATCAATCAATCAGCGTCCAATTGGGGGCGGAGCTCTCAAGGGTTCGCATGTAAATAAATTAGTGCCAAAAAGTAAATGCGAAAAGCGAATCATCCAAATGGGGGTTTTCACGAGGAATGGGACCATGGGTAACCGAAACCCTTAGAGCGCTAGAGATGGGCGGGTGACACGATCAGCCCCATCCAAGGGCTGTCCAACTCTTTCCACCTCATCTCCATGGTAAAAAAAAGGGACCACATGTTGCCTGACTTTTTGGGTTGAACTTTTTGAAGTGTTTTCCATGTTTTCCCCGGCGAACGAGCCACTGACGGGACGAGATGAGATGAATGGGAAACTCATACCAATACCCCTACCCGTACCCGTACCCGTACCTTTACTCGTATTTTGTTTTAAAATTTGAGGCGAATTTTCCCTCGCTTTTCCGCGCGAACTTAATTTGCGCAATTTGCTGGAAAGTTGGTTCTCTCTGGCCTCCCTCCCCCTAAGAAGCGTAGGGACGGACAACATAAAAGCCAAAAAGTCAAGGGGCCAAAAGTCAACTCGGGAAACCTGAGCTGAAAGCAGATTCCAGCAGCATCCATAATGATGAGCATGCATGGGGTGCACCCAAGAAAGGTGCTTGCCAAGAGGCAGAGCCTGAGGAGGAGCCGTTGGGGGCAGCCTGAGATTCCTCGATACGAATTGGTCGCATCTGGAATGGGATAGCACAGGCACAGGGGCCTCCTCCATCGACGCTTTGTTTGGCCAACAACAAAAGCCGACATAAATAACTTTCCATTCCATTCGCAGCGGTGGATAAATCTTTGGAACGCCATAACGCACACACAACGGTGGGGCATGGGGCATGGGGCTTGGAGCTTGGGGCACGGGACACGGGACATGACGCACAATGCACGACTGCCGCAACCGCAGAGAATGGCACATATTTATGTACGTATGTACCTCCACTCCCTCTCCCTCTCCCACTCCAACTACCTCTTCCATCCGCATCCGGATCTTAACCAGACACGGACAAACACGGACATAAAGACTCGGACTCTTGGTTAGCAAAGCTCTCGGACTGTTTACATGCCTGTAATTAATGCAAATGTCGGACTGTACGGGTGCTGGTGCGGGTCCGTGCGTCCGTGTGAATCCTAAACATGCATGTACCACAGGACAATGCAACCAGAACTGGCAACTGACACAAGCGGGGAGTCGGGGAAGTCAGGACGTCTCTACCAGCCAGGGCAGGACTATCTGATCTTGGTACCGCATGGCCACCATGGAGACTGTCAGAGCTTCGTTTTCGAAATGCATAACATCAGCTTCAGTTTTTTGCAAATTACAAATACAAATTAATATAAATTTTGAGGAAATTTTTCAGTGAGCAGAATTGTTGATTTGCAAAATGCTTGCATTCCGAGATCTATACATTCAAAACATATGTAAATAAAGAGAAATGTGGACTTCTACGGTTTAGACGGTTTAAACGACTTCAAAAATATACGGCAATTGTTGCCAGTCGAATCGGATTGGCAATTGTTGCCAGCCGAATCGGATTGGCAATTGTTGCCAGAGAACGAAGCTGCAAATAATAGAAGAGAGTTTTTGAACCCGACATTCTACGACTGAATGTTGGATCTCCGGTTATTTTACTTCGAAATTTGAGCCCTGCACGGCTGTGCGATGGCATGTGATTGGCGCTTAATTATTATCGAAGCCACCATTTTGCATGGCAAATGCAGAGGCGAAAATATTTCCAATATTTCCAAAAGTCCTGCCAATTGAATTCAAACGTGTTCAATTTCCTATTGTATTAGCATTAAAAATGGAAAACCATAAGTCACAAGACCAAACGATTTCCTGTCCGCTCTCGGCTTGGATTTGGAAACTGCTCGATTTCACATGGACATTAATAGCAAAGAAATGCAATTATTACTGTGCAGCAACCCATACGACTCTTAAGTAGACAAATCGACTTGTTCCTACCATCTTGAACTGCATTTTTATCAAAGCAAATCGAGTTGTTTGGAATTATTGCTAGAGTTCTAGCAGTTCTAGCAGCTTCCTGGCTTAAATGTTTTAAACTACAAAAACCACTGGCCTATAGTGCTGCCAATAATTAAGTTAGCTTTCATCTGGCGATACACCTTGTTTAATGGCTGTCGGGAGGGATATGGACATGCCGGCCAGAATCCAAAAAGGGTAATTAACTTGTGTTTTATCTGTTGTTGCCAGGCAAATGCCATAGATACTCGTATCCTCTCGGGCGCCTGGCCCTGCCGGGGCCAGTAACTAAATAATCACAATGTGTGGTTGAGGATAAAGCTGCTGTCCGATGCCCCGTGCTCGGTGCCCGGTGCTCGGTGCTCGGTGCCTGATGCCTGTGGCTGCCTTGGGCTGCGGCCCATAAACACCCTAATTCCATTCAAAAGAACAGGGTAGGATGAGGGGTCTGAGCCGGGGTATAGAGGGCAAAAAGTAATATTCGCACTGCGGTTGGGGGCTGGCGGGCTATACGAGTATATGTCACCGGAAGTGGGTCGGGCGGGTGAAAGGTGCAACCCATACACGCCATACGAGTACGAGTGTGAGTACGAGTACGAGTACGAGCACGAAGACGAGTACGAGTATGTGCATTGTGGCTGGGGTTTTAGCCAGGAATGGACGAGTAAATGATTGACTCACTGACTGACACAGTGACAGACTGACTGAATGACCGACCGAACGTTAGGTTGGGGGTACCAAATACATATACTTGTACGGGTTGTGGCCACCGGCCACCGGCCACTGGCCACTGATGAGCTCCTGATTCTGATGGAGATGGAAATGTTGATGCAAATTCAGGCTGAACTGCCCTGCCCAGGCCACTTCCCTGATCTGTTAATTGGGGGAATGACAGTGGACTAGAGCCAACGAAGGAAATGTGCCGTATGAAGGGTCGTAAAACGTTTCCACATCCTTCTCCAAAAGCCCAGCCGTACATTCAACCCCATTGTGAATGATATGCAAATGGAAGGAGCCACACACACACACACACACACTCTTCTCACACACATGGACATACGTATAGAAAATAGAAGGAGAGAACTAACCAAATGAATGACAACAGGAACTGTCGGAAATTGTGCTATAACTAAAGACTATAACCAGTGAGGTGCTCTTGTTCCCGTTCTCGTTCTCCTTCTCATTCTCGCTCCCGTCCCCAGGTCTGTGTGTTCGCCTGTTGGTCGACATCGAATCAGGAACCGAGATAAAGTAATTTAATAAAGTCATTTCCATATATTTATATTAGAAGCAGCAACCAGAGAAAAGCAGCCCCCGGGGTGTGGATGCGGAAGCGGATGCGGGTAGTGGGTGCTGGGTGCTGGATGCTGGACTGTGGGTTGGGAGCTGTGTGTAGCAGCTGCCAGACATCATTAGCGGAGTCCCATTCCCATTCCCAGTACTACAGAAAGAACAAAAACACCGGACTGGACCGGACAGGAATGTTATCTTAAGCAATTGCTTAATTTAATTACGACAGCGAAGAGGAGGACTAACTGAAGGTGCAGATGCGTGCAGGATGGGATGGGGAAGGACCTAGAGGTCCAGTCCGCCTGGTAGTAAGGGGCGCATGCACAAAGAAAACTTACCACCTGTATAGATCTTGGGCGCTGGCAGCCAAACTAAGGTTTCCCAGCAGCGGCGGTCGCTCCTTCAGATGATGATGGTTCAGCAGATCCGATGACGAAGCCAGCCTGTAATCAGAAGCGAAAAAGGATAGATGGCAAAACAGATGAATAGATCTTGAATTCTGGTATATGGGAGATGGGGTAATTGGGTAATCGGTGGAAAGGGATTGCGAGACTCACCTCAGCTGCGGCGCCTTGATGCCGTGCTTGTCCATAACCTTCTCCAGCTGGCGCACTCGCAGCCGTGACATGTCCAGCTCGTGCTTGACCTTCCACAAGTGCGTGTCGCAGATGGGATCATTGCAGCGATGCTTCTTGAGGATCTCGGTGGCCTCGAAGACGGCGCCCCGAAAGGTCAGCGACTTGCCCATGGAGAGCGAGATGAGGGCACAGCAGTGGCCCCCATCCTTCTTGGCTAGCCGCGTTCGTATGTACTTGAAGTAGACATGCTCGAGCAGCAGGAGCAGCGCGGCCAGCAGAATGCCGGCCATCAGAAGCAGAAAAGCGGACAAGAACTGCTCCAGGGCCAGCGGATCCGAGGACTTATGCTCCTGCTTGCCCGGTCTACACGTGCCCGTCATCCAGTAGCGTCTCAGCCGCTCCAGGTCCCCGTTTGCCCGGAACTCGAGCAGCCGCTTGTTAAACATCTGCACGTACTTGGAGTTGCGGCTAAATGCCAGGCCGTACCCTACGGACATGGGATCGAAATCAAGATGGAGAGAGGGATGCACAAAGGAATGCCTGACGCCTTGATGTCCTGATGCTTACCCGTCATGGCATACCAGCTGCCGACGGTCATCAGGCGGCAGTCCTCGTCCTGGGCCACCAGATAGTCGAGCACCGTCCCATCATAGATGAAAGAGTCCAGGTTGCCATTGAGCACGGCAGCCACGCCATCGGCCACGCTCGTTTTATTATAGCTAATAGTAAGCGGAAGAGTTGAGAGTTGATTGAGATCTAGGATTGGTAGCTGGGACTCACTTCTTCATGTAGAGATGCATATTCCCAAAATACTTGTGGATGGTCGAGTCCGTGTGGCTGTAGGGTATCGTGCCGAACTTGAACGAGGGCTTGTGCGAGGTCGGATGCACCAGGCGGCTGTCGTTGAGGCCGCTAAACTCGTGGAACTCTTCCCTGGAGAGCCAGATCAGGGGAAAGATCAGTGATCTCGATCGTTGGAGGAGCAGTGGAGTCGTAGAATCGAAGTGTCTTACCTGGTTATCATGAAGGCTGCAAGGTTGGCAGTGTATATGGCAAGAAAGACCACAGCGAAGAGGGCCCACACGTTGGTCATGAAGCGAGAGGTGAAGCCGCGCGGTGAGTCCACATGGACAGCCGCTTGGAAGAGTACGGCCCAGACGAGCCAGTACGTGCGGAACAGGGAGAAGCGGTAAGGGGTTACGTTGGTGTTCTGCAGATAGAGCTTCATGTCGTAGCCGCTGGGCGAGAGCCACTCGAACAGGAAGATCATGAAGGTGGCTGCCTGGATGGCCACGATACCCACCTGATCACACAGACGCCAGAGTATGAGGGAAAAGGGAAAAAGGAAAAAGAAACGACTTACCGGACTGTGACTGGGAGATAGAGATTGAGAGAGATCTGAGACTTACCAGCATCCACGAGGCCGTATCGAAGGGCTCAAGGAAGGCCGTGGGCGATATAATGCCCGTCCGCTTGGCCACCACAATGGCGATGCCCGTCTCCATGAATGGCTCACTGAAGTCAACAACCGCCTCACGTTCCGTGTTGATCATGAGCGAGGTGAGGACCATGTCCGTCTTGCGGTTGACCAGATCGGCGATCAGCCCGTTCCATTTTCCATTCTCAAGTGTACCCCATTTACCATCTTCGACCCGCACCAGCTCGTAGGTGAAGCCCAGCTCTTCCGCAAATTTCTCGAGCAGATCGATGCAGAAGCCGCTGCAGCATTGGTAAAAGGACTCGTTGCGGTGTGCCTGGCCCACGTCGATATCGGCGGCCATCTCGTGGTCTGCCGCCACACGGCAGAGCACACCGCGGTCCATCAGGCACTTGCCACTCACTGGATCCGCGGGCGACAGATTGATATAGGGTGCCTCTTCGAGGAATGTTATCTTTAAATGGAACTTCTCGGGCACGCCTTGGGGCGGTGCGTGCGAGTTACCTGGCCACGCGATGTCGCGTATGTCCAGCTTCTGTGTCTCCCACGACTTCCACACTCCAATCTGCGCGCCATTCCATAATCCATAATTCCAATATCCATGCCGAGTGGAGTGCCGAGGAGTCGATCGTGGAGTGGTGGATGTGGAGGTTGAGGTTGAGGTTGAGGTGGCATGGCAGGATCAGCATGTGTACAAAGCGGTGCAAATAGGTGATCGAAGATCGAATTGATCAGGTAATCAGGTGTTCAGGTGGCGTTGGGGAATCGGAGTGGAGTGGAGCAAGTGATCAAGTAAGGAGAGTGAGTCAAAAGGTGAAAGTAAAAAGTGAGAGCAAAGCATGCGAAGAAAGCGCCACTTACCTCCTCCCAAACGAGATTCTTATTATTGGCACTGGGCCGCAGATTCATGATCTTCAGCTCGGCAGACTTCAAGTCCCCATCCGCCGTGAACTCAATGTTCGGCTTATTCAGATCCCCCTCAATGGAGACGTTGCGCAAGTACTTAAAGAAGCTATGGAAGATATGGCGATAAGTCCCGTGAAATAAGGAACCTAATGGATGCGACTCCTTCCAACTCTCAGACATCCTGTGTCTTTAGTATTCATTCTGACAGACGGACATTCCTACTAGGGCTGTTCAACGCAGGGACCGAACAAATCATCCACTTTGAATAGCCGCACAACATTTAAATGTTTGCACGATACAAAAATTAGGTTGTAGACCGGGATGAGTAGATCTACTAAGAATTCACAATAAGCCCCCAATAATCTTTTTAAAATTCAATCCGCGGGCTGGTGACTTCGTGTACTTTTATAATTTTCAGTCGTCATTTGCAGTGCCGATATCAAAAACAAATAATCGGGGGCAAAGAGAATTGTGTGACCTTTCGTATGATGAATTTTTAAATAAGATATTGAGCTTTTATTACAATTTTCAAGTATGAGGGAGATATCCTCCAAATATCGTCCAACTCATCGAGGCTTAAACCTTATTTTTTTCTCGTGCAAAGTACGTACAAAACGTTAAAATACTAATTGTTTAACAGCTCTAACTGATAGATATTTTGTGATTCCTTACATTTCGCCATTATCCCAGCGGCCGCGTCCCTCGTCCTCACAGGACAGGGACTGTGTGGTGAGGCGACGATCCCGATTGGCCGGATCCGTGAGATAGGCCTCGACCCCATAGCTATAGATCTTGATGGCATTGGAGATCTCGTTCATTAGGGCCGCACTGGAGGTGTCAAAGTGAACGCCCAGCATGCCAACCGGAAACTGGGAGTGGGCATCCTTCTTTTCGATCACTGACTGGCTAACAACCCACACGTAATTCTCGCCGGTGAGCTTCATCTCCTCGGCGGCACGCAGGATGGTGATGGCCTCCGTCTGTGTGGCATAGAGGAGCATAACGCGTGCCTCGCTGTTAACCAGCTCCATGAGATCACTGGTCCGCGTGACCACAATCGAATTGAGGATCGTGAATTTGAAGTGGTCCTGCATCTCGGCCACACGCTCGCGCACCGCCTGTACAAAGTCATCGTGGCCGGCTATTTGTGAGGTGACCACTGAGAACTGATGCCACTTGTAGCGCTCCAGGATGCTCAGCATGGCTGCGCTCTGGTGCTCGATGCTCGGTGCCAGCTGCAGCTGCAGTGTCGACTGCGAGGCCCGGCGCTCCAGGCCCGAATTATCCGCGTTCCATGAGATCACCGGTATCCCCAGATATCCAGCCAGCTGCAGAAAGTACTGGGCCGAGGCGGTGCTGTGGCCGAACTGCTCGTTGTTCATCATGTACAGGATGGCTGAGACGTTCACCCGAAGGAATTCCTTGCACAGGGTGCTCAGAATAGCTGTGTGGTAGAGGAGACGAGAGAGAAAAGTGGGGTTAGCCATCGGTCCATTTGCATTCCTGACCCATAAAACAAACTCCCGCCCACCCTTGGCATTTTATCACACTTCAGACTGGAGACTGCCGCTCGTTCCAATTCCAATCTCAATCGGAGTTCGTGCGTGTCTTGTGTACAGATGTGTGGCAATTAATTGCAGATTAGCCACCTACTAGCCACAGGAGCCGGAGGCAGAAGGCAGGAGGCAGGACGCAGGAGGCAGGAGGCCTCCGAAGCAGAGCGTTTTGTTGGGTTACCAAGTGTCGTTAGGGGAGGGGTTCAAGGGGGAGATGTGGAACAGAAAAGCCGCAGCTTGTTGACTGATATTGGTTAGTGGATTCTTTTCAGTCTGCACCCATGAAAGGCCGCAGCCACAGAGAGGCAGCTACCTCGCTAATTGACCTACTTAAAGGTGTTGTGGCGGTGGCATGTAGGCAGGTGGCATGTACCGTCAGGGTTGTCAGCGGCCTCGTTTCGCCTGTCATTTTTGAGAGTTTCTTCTGGGGAGATGCCACACCAGACCACAGCCGCCCGCCACGTGGTAATTAATTCACATGCAATTTCAATTGAAAAGATTGCGAAACAAGAATCAGGGCCACGGGGGGAGTGGGGAGTGGGGTATCGATTTCATTGTTTAGCCATGACCAGAGACAATTTCGGAAGTTTTTCCCGGGCTGGAAGTTTTGGAAGAAGACACTCGAAGATGAGAGCGACAAAATTGACAAGACATTGGCCAAGTTCTTGAGAACGTGAGAGGCTTCGATGACATCATCTAAAATCCCTACCGCGCCCCATCCTCCATGGGGGGTAAGAGGGGGTGGGGAAATTGTCAGTCGTCTGTCAATGCTTTGGCAGAATGTGAAATCTCATCAAAAAGTTTAATTAACTTTTTCATCACTTTACTTCTGCTCTCTGCATTCCAGATTCCAGAGATGGCGGAGAGAGCCGGCGGGTCTGCCGGTCTGCTAATTTTCTACCCTGCTACCCGCTAGCAGTGGACTCTGCAGTATCCACCATCCATGCATTCAATTACCATTTCCACACCGGACCGAGTACGGGTACGGGTACGGGACAGATGGATATCTGTTCCCATGGATACGTATGGAAGCAACGATGGATAGATGGAAAGATACACAGATGGCATAGCAGGATGACTAGATGGATAGGCCCATGGCCCCCACATCCAACCGCAGTCGGGGATGATGGATAGATGGGTGGATAGATGGATGGATAGATGTATAGATGGATGGATGGTTGATTTGTTGGGCAACTGCTCCCGCCAGCTGTTAGGGACAGAGGGGTGTAAAGGGCAGAGGGATTGTGCGGACCTTTGTTCGCATTTAATCGACAATATAAATTCACTTAACAGAATTATGTCTTGCGCTGGATGCCAGCGACTTCGAAAATTTAATTTCCACACTTTGATGCGAACATTTTTGAATCCTGAGTGCGTCCCCGTCCGTCCATTACGATTTTAATTGCGTGCATTAAACACCCTGTAATTGCATTACCGAAGTGGAGCTCCTCTCTCTGTCCGTCTGTCTGTCTCTCTGTCTCTCTGTCTGTTCTTTCTGTGTGTTTTTGTAGCATACTTATTGGGGCAGAAGGAATCGCTCTGCCCTGCGCCCTGTCCTCTGCCGCTCAGAGCTGGAATCACGCTCCCTCTTCAGATTAACCACGCCTTACAACGTTGCCCATAACGTCACGCCCATAACGTAACGTAACGCAACGCAGCGTAGGGCCGCCCGGGCGGGAGGGACACAATTGCCACTGCGGGTCGTCCACCGTCCCCTTTTGAAGTGGGTCCTCCATCACCATCACCCTCTCACACACAACACCCCTCTACATCCACATCCACCCCACGGACTCCTCCACTCCGGAAGTGTTGGTCCCAAGAAGTCGAAAATTGCGCTGCCACAAAGGAGATTTTCCCGTTGAGAGGGAGCAGGGAAGCAGGGAAGCAACAGCCAGAGCGGGCTTCCTTTTTGTAATGTGCAAATTGAATTTTGACACAGCGCTGCCTCAATTTGACTGCCGCAGGAGCACGCCCCAACCACCAGCCGCACCCGGGCTTGGAGTGGAGCAGTGGGACAGTGGGACAGTGGGAGAGCGAGGCACGGGGTTGTTATTGTTGTGGCAGCGCCCAGCCAAGAGCAGGAGTCAGCTGACAGCTGTCAGCTGTGACTGGGCTTTGGCTTTGAGTCTCTTCGCATTCGTCCTCGCTTGACGTCGTCCCTGACAGCATCACAGGCGTTGGCAGGCGGTGTGGGTGTGGGTGTGGGTGTGGCTGTGTCTGTGGGTGGTGTGTGCACGGGCAAGTCTGTCAACTTATTATAACATCCATTAATTTCATTTAAGCATCATTCAATTGCCTTCGTTTTTATCGCAAGTTATCACGAGTTGCCAACAATGCAAGTGATAGAGTGCAAAAGAGGATCCAGAGCAGATGGAGCGGTGAAGCGGTGAGGCGGCGGAGTGTGTGTGTGTGTGTGTGTGTGTGTGTGCGTGTGGTGCCTTGCCCCTCTTCTGCCTCTGTGTGCCTTCTTATTCTTGGAAAACTTTTTACATTACGTTCGAGGCAGGCAAGTGGAAATAGCGCCGACAGGCATGGAGACCCCTCTCTCCCTGCCTGCCTTTGGTGCTTTTCCCCTTCATAAATCTTTCAGGGGCGCTCTTTGTGCCCTCGAAAGTGTATCTAATGCATACACGACTTCTCTGTAGACCCCGCTCCTCCACTGCCGCCGCTCCACTGCACGGCCATATCTTGTCACATACGCGTACGCGTGGAACGACGTGCGGTGCCAGAGTGTGCCCAAAGTGGCATAAAGCACAATTAGGATAAGGATAGCTCTCTGCTACTCCCTACTCCATCGCTCTTGGATTCGATAATGCAAAAATACGCTCGGATTCGATTTGCTAATGCGGGAACAGGGGGCGTTGCGCGTCTGTGACTGTAACTGGGACAGCACTGGGATTAGGGAGCTAAGTGCTAGGAGTGGGAGTTGGAGTGGCAGCAGTACCCGCATCGCCATCGATGCCAAAAGATTGTCTTGCCTGCTAAGCCAGTCCCCAGTGCGCCTCATGCTATCGCTCCGAACGAGTTTAACATCTCGTGCACACAATTAAACATTGCAATGATAATTCCGGTTGGCTAAGCAGGCTCCAGAGGGTGGGTAGACATGAAAGAGTTGGTAGATTTACTGCTTCCCCTTTGTACCCCGTACTACACCCTACACCGTACACCATACACATAAAATTAGGTATGTGCAACATTGAAATAAAAATGATTAATTGATAAATTAAAATGAATTTTAATTTTTCTTTAATTTTTTCTCAACGTCCTATGACGTTTCCTAAGAAAACCATCAAAGCATCATTATATTTCAGTTTCCCATTTGCTTTCTCATAAATAATTCAAATGGATAGTTATTAATACAAAGGAATAATAACAATTTGTATCAGAATAACGAAGAAAATCCTTAAAACCTAAAATTCAAAAAAGGTTGGTGGATATGGTTAGATTTTCCTTTTCTGCTGTGCTGCAATTACTAGTGGATCATTCTTTCGGTCCCCCGATTAAAACATTTATGAAAATACCAAATATGTTTTTTCAGACCCACTACGTGTTCCTCTTCGTATTCCTCGTCCCAGTTGTCCGAAATTCTTTTGTAATATTCACTTTTTCGAAATTTCTATGCTGCGAAATTTGCCTGCACCGAAATTCCCTTCCCAACTTTCGTGCATTATGAATTCCTGCCTCTGAGCTGAGCTTTGTGTGCGTATCACCCTAAGCTTCACCCACGCAAATGACACACACCACACACACACACACACACACACACAGAGAGCTGACATGGGCGTGGCATGCCAATAAAAAGAAATACCATGTAAAATATGGAAAAACAACAGCAACAGAAACAGCAACAGAACAAAACTAAACTTGTGGCTGCTGGCTGGCTGGCTGGATGGCTGGATGGCTGGTTGACAGGGAACTTGGCGCATATTTTATAACTTGACGTCACACGAGTTGGCACCCATGCCACCCACAGAAGCACCCATACACCCATGCACCCTTACACTAGCATACACACACACACACACACACTCACACAAACACGCATAAGCAGAGATAGAGCGCCAAAAATCCGCATGACGGCAATGACAACAGAGAGAGAGAGAGAAATAGAGCGAAAGAGGAGAAAGATGGACAGAGGAGGAGGGTAAATGAAAGAAGACAGAGCATTCTCCTCTGTCTGTGGACAGCGGGAGGGTGTAAATGAGAGGCGGCCAAGGAGCAAAGGAGGAGACAACGATAAGGAAACGACGACAGCGGGAAGTCCCCTCGAAAAACATCTTATCGAATATCAAAGTGTTGCCAGATGATTTTTCGCTTTTCATGGCGCTCTTGTCAGATGAGTTTTACACGTGAAATATTTAACAGTCAGGCACACAGACAGCCAGGCAGGCAGGCAGTGCACAGGGTTCCTCTGTGGAGACGTGGCAGACATGTGTGTGGCATGCACTTAGGTATACGGGAACTATGCTGAGTCACGACTTAGCCGAGATACTTCTGCCCCAACGCCCCAGATAGGAGATAGGAGAAGATGCCGATGCCAGATGCCAGATGCCGGATGCCTTCCTATCCTTATGGCTTTCCGTCTTTGCTGGCGTTTGCCGTTCCCTGCAACAGACTGGAGCGTTCCTTTTCCCTCCTTTCTGGCGTTGTCAAAATTCCGCTGTTGTTGTTAGCATCGAATTAAAACTGATTCATTCGAGCAGTGGACCGCTGGCTCCTAGGTCCTGGATTCAAGCGTGTCACAGCAGTCCCGTCAAGTTACTACTGCAGCAGCTGCTGACAAGGCTGTCTTTTGGCAGGGGAGTCTTCGGCTGGGGCGTGGCTGGGGCAACAACTTTTTGGTGCAAAGTGATGCGGAAAAGTAGTTCCAGTCCTAGTCCCAGTTCCA